TCACTGCTGTTGTTGCTGTGATGGTGTGTGGGGGCGATGACTGTAATGGTGCTGCTCAGTGTTGGCACTGGGAAGTGTGTAGTGGTTGCAGTGGAGACCTGGGATGCTGCAACGAAGCCGTCACCGCTCTCTGTCCTCTCCACTCGATCATGATCGTACTTCAATTTTCCAGAATCTCGTTCTGTGAACAGACAATAGCAATGCTCAGTTGTAAAACAAGACTGGGTCAAAGCCTAGTATATGGCTCGATCATGCATGGTCTGTGTGAAAAATGCTTAACTCTGTGCAGATACAGCTTAGTACAAAGCAACTAATTGAAAAAATATATATATAATGTAATGTTGTGTTCTGTCTAAATACACTTTGAAACAAACGGGGAAACAGAGTTGTGTTTCTGAACCTGGCTTCTGAAGTCTTACCTCTACTCCTGCTTCTAGATCTGGTTCTGCTGTGGGACCTGCTCCTGCTGCGATCTCGATCCCTCTCTCTGTCCCGGTCTCTGTCTCTATCCCTGTCCCTCTCTCTGTCACGATCCCGGATGCGGTCCTTGCTCCAACTGCGACTGCGGCTACGACTGTAGCTGCGACTGCGGCCTCTCCTGCGATTGTAGCGTTCGCGGTACGAGTCCCTCCTTGGCGGGATGCGGTCGTACTCTCTCTTCCTGGAGCGATCGGCTCTCTTACAGTCATCGCCTCTCCTAAACATGTGGATAAACAACAACAAAATAAGTAAATAGTTATACTAGCTGAAGACAAAATGTTAAATGGAAGGGGTGCACACACCTGCTATCTCTACTGTAGCGAGAGCTTGATTGCGGAGGGCTGTGATTCACTCGCCGAGAGAACTTCTTCTCACGTTCTTCTTCCCTATTTGTCTGAACAAATAAAGCGCACAATTAAAATGTCTATAAGAGAGCCACTGATATGTGAGGTCCTCTATATCATTTAAAGCATATCATGTGATGGTACCAAAGTATTGACGCATGAAAACTACCTCATCTTTTTTCTGCTCATCTTTCTCAACTTTGCCCAGAGAGGAGTGAGCCTCTGGTAGTGGGAGGTAGCTTTTGTTGTTCACGGCTTCAAACAGCTTATCCACAAATAGCTGCGTCTCTGAAGAGAAGAAGATGAAGCAAACATTTGAATACGCTGATAATTATTTATATCCTTCACCTGAAACACAAAAATAAAACAAGGCTTTTGTGAAGCAGGGGATCAAAGATCCCAGTAAATGCATCTCATATATTCACAGAGCTAATCGTCTGTATCTTTTTCACCATGTAGTAGTTTTCAGTTTTACATGATTCACACGCCAGAATCACGATAAATGTTTTTTTTAAAGATTTTCCGGGTCTACAAACATCGTGGTTACCTCAGATGGTAAAATAATACATGTCATGAACCAGGCTGGGTGAGGGATTAAATACCTTTTTGAAGAAATACATCCAACTGGTCGATACACAGAGCTTTGAGTTCCTTCACACTTTTATCCTTCTTCACCAAAGCCACGACATACTTAGCAAGGGCGGAGGGGTCTGCATCACATCTGGAAACGAGAGGAAAACAAACCATAAATACATGAGAATAAAGAATCTATGTATACATATAAATAACAGTAGTTGGATGCTTTGACAGGAAAGAACAGCTTGTGATGCTAATGGCTAACGCTACTTACATGGGCTCAAGGGTTTCAGACAGCCATGTTTTCAAGGCATCGAGGTTTTCAATGATCATTTTAGATGCAGCCGAACTTCCCCTCCACCGCGGCCTCGGTCAACGCCACCTGGCTGAAGTCACTCACCGACTTTCTTACTTGAAACGGTGACACGCTTTAGTAATATTTGATCAGGCCGGGGCGCCAAAAGCTGCGTTAGCTTAACTTAGCTCAACGTTAGCCAAGCGAGCTAGCCACTTGGCGAAGGTCTTTTTCCAGGCCCCAAGCGCGCGGCTCGATTCCTCAACTTTCGTCAAACGTTTGTCCTTGAAGTGAACATGGAGCGAGACCAGCGTCAGTCAAAGTCCAGCCAAACAAAACATGACTGTTGTGACTAATATCTAACTGTTCAACGTGAAGAGGATCCACGCTTCACTTGCCACTGTCCCCTCACACAAGCTAACGTGCCATGGCCACTATTTACTTCCGCTTTTGGGTCTCGTTGGTGAAATATCGCGAGAGGGAGACGGGCCGCCCTGGTTCCATCAGTGAGGAAATTATTTCCCCCAGTGGTGGAGAAAATAAATATCCATTATATATATATATATATATTATGAGAATAATTATGAGAATAATAATAATAATAAATAATAATCTCATCTCATAATAATGTCTTACCATCCCAAAATTGTTATTCGTGAAAATGCTTTTACAAAAGGCCGATCTAATTATATCATCACAATCTTTCTTTTACTGTGAAAACAAATAAAGGAGGGGGGGAATTAATATATGTGTGACCTGAGTAATACATATCACTAGCAATCATACATAACATTTATACATAACCCCTTTTCAAAGAGAAACAAGAAGAAACAAGAACACAATTCTTAAAGTACAAAGGGTAACTGTCATTATGAGGTGAAGTTAGTCTATGGAAACAGGTAGTTTATTTAATATCAGTTTGAATTTAGAGGAACATTTACATATTTCCAGGGGCTTTTACTATGAAATTCTTCATCGGACTGCTCTGATATTGTCAGTGAGACTCTGAGGTGATGTCATTTTGACAGTCTCTTGTTTTGTTGCCTGAAATTCAGATTCCATTTCTTCATAATAAAGTTCTACTTATTATTCACAGTGTGGTAACAACAAATCATTCATCAATCAATCATGGAGTCACATACCTGCAGAATGAGAACAGGGAGACAAGGTGTCATATTTTTCATTTAGCAAAAAGATATTGTATCATTGTATCAATCATTTCATCGGCCTGAATCAACACTGATGCATTAAAAACATTCAAATAATTATCTACCCGAGTCCACAACTTCAAATGTACTTCTTTACACATTTCATAATCTCAAGATGGAATTTATTTTTTATTGTTCGTGAAATCCAAACATTGCCACCGACAGTAACTTACAACATAATTAAATGTGCCATAGAATATCAACTATATGATAAGACGAAATATTGCAAATCAAACATAACACACTTATAGTGGTTGTATTGAACTTAACTGTATGTGTTTGTAAAAAAAAAAACTCGAATTAATCCTATTCAAAAATAAAACTTAAAAAGTGTTTTACAACTCACCTTAAAGTTGAAGCAGTGAAAGAAGTTGAAAAGTCTGATCTGCCAGTTTGTGCTTCTTCAGTGGAATGATTAAAACTTAGCTCCTTTTTCCAAAGACTGCTGAGAGCTGATGGGAACATTTCCCAGTTTGGACCGAGCTGAGATCTTTTTTGTTTATTGCAGGTGAGGCATGAAGTGAGGCCTTTGCAGTTTCCCTCCAAAAGTGACTTCCTGATTTACTTCCTCATTTCATAAAACTGTTTGTATCTTTAATGTCTAAATCCAGAGAAGTTGATGAAATGATGCTTTATGTAAAATATAAGAGTCCCTTCTTCAACAATGGTTGTTCAATCCTCATTGTGTTTAAAATCCCCAGTAGTGACAGCAGGCTGTTGGCCTCGTCACTTAGTATGTATTACATTACTTTAATGTAAAAACTTAACCCTTAGTGATTCAGTGCCTCTTTTTCAACATGTAAAGACACTGTAGAAACTTTTCTTATCGTTGATTCGACTTCAACCACAAATGATTTTTTAATGTTGAATTAACAAACCTTTCTGTCTGTAAACACACACAATTACAATATAAAGTAGTGAGAAAAGGAAAAAGTCTGAACGATACAAATAAAATCCAGCAGGCTTTTTTCTCCACCAGTGAAACATCCTCTCAAACAAATGTCTGGAAGAACAAGAAGTAAAGAGACTGTTGGACTCACCGGATGTTCTCAGGAGAGACGAGTCTGAGATCAGCTGTTTGGAGACAGAGCTGCTACTGGACCAGATGCTGTGCGGCCATCTCTCCACAGGGAGGCGCCTATCTATCTATCTGTCTGTCTATCTATCCATCTGTCAGTCTGTCTCTCTGTCTGTATGTCTGTCTGTCTTTTCTGACACCTTATGGTCAAACACTGTTTTTATTTTACATTTTATAAATCTAACACTCGTCTCCTCTGAGAAAGGAATTGTTTAAATAAACAACAAAAAGAATGCATTCACAATGCAACTCTATTTCTTCAGATCTATAAACCAAACACTTGACTGGACTGTATAAATGTCAGGTCGATCATGCTGAATGTCTGTGCACACAGCACATGGCAGCAGTTCTGCAGGTGGAGTCACACATTCAGCTCTTCAACACTAAATAACCACATTCAAATCAAAGTGTGATGGGAAAACATGTGTTTTAGCTCAGGCTTTATTTGATGGAGTTGGGCAGTTTGGGAGTTTTCCAGATTTTAATGAACTCAGAAATATTGATGGATCAGAACAATCGACAGGAAATACATCTTCTCTCAGATACTAAGTCAGAATTATGAGAATGATTTCTCATCTTAATGATTTACAGGAACTGTATTTTTTTTTTCATCACAGCGGCAGAAATGGGCTTCCATACAAACTGCATCAAAATCCTCAGACAGTTAGAAGATCACGTTTTATATTTTAATAGAAACATTATACCTGTGTGGAGGTTGAATTTACATTGTAAACTACATTCGTTTTAAAATAAGATATCCTTTATTAGCCAGCTGTACCTAATAAACTGGAAGAAGTAAAATTCCTGCATTAATTATTTCCTATATAAGTGAGAGTATCAGGCCAGCTGTACTTTAAGTATAGCCCATTCAGAATAATGTATATTTTGTTGTACAATAAAGACCATGAAACATGAATCTATAAGAAAACATCTGCATTAATTTATCTATTGGTAACATCAGTTCATCAGTGTGAATTTACTTCCACCTCATGCAGTCAGAAACTTAAAACTCCCAAAAACAGACTTAAGAAGTTTTTTATTTACACATCCCCATTTTAGTTTCTTTACATTGCTCTGTGTTTGTAATTATATATGTAATCAACATACAATGTTTAATACAGTAAAAGGTGCAGTTAAACAAAAGAGAAGATAAATCTTATCGTCCATGCAGCATGATCCTTCAAAATGGTACAACCCAACAACGACTCGTCTGTTCTCCTGAAACATACACTTACCCTCTCGATAAAAATCGTAATGGACAGTAACAGTTGACCTGATAAAATACTCAGTCACACAAACAGCAAAACAAAACTAAATTACAGACATTTTATCTAAATATATTGTGTGAAGAAATATAGATTTTCACGAGATAAAATGTTTAGTTTATAGTGGTTCATTCAGGATGATGAAATTATTTATTTTAAAAAGTCACACGACTTTTTCCTACACATGTATACGTTTTCAGTATGTTTGGATTGAAATCATGTAATGCCACTGTAGTGATTAAACAGAGATAAAAAAAACAACCTGCTAAAGATAATTTGGCTTACAACACAATGAAAACACTAGCATAAAATAAAGCTCATTATATACATTCTTATAAAACAGTTCATTTTCAGAACATTCATGGTTGCCCTTGAACATTACCAGTGATTTGCTTTCAGTAATAATAAGGACACAGTGTGTTTATGTAATAATGTGAATGGGGACATTATTATATACATGCATGTGTTGTAGCATAAAAGGATACAAGACCATAGATTATAGTTCATCTTTCCATTTTGAACAGGATGAATGAAAAGAGTAACAATCCGAAGAAACTGCATGTGATTTTTACCAAATACAAATTATATAAATATTTAAAACGTTTTTTATCATTACATTATTGGTCCAGTACTATGATTGTGTGCTCCTCACTAACAAACATGAGGGGAGACACATTTCTTGGCTGAGTAAAACCTCAGTCTGAGCTCTAAAGATCTAAAAACAGTGGAAGGTTCACTGCCCCAAACAAGCACGAATCAGCACTTTAAAAAGGTACAGTATAGTCGACCTGATGCAGAGGAGTCAGCATCTAGTTCGCCCTGTCGATGAACTGTAGGTGAATGGGAGCAGCCGGGCAGAGCAGGCCGTGGGTCTTCGCCTTGACGTCAGCAGAGAGAGGAGACGGGACAATGTGGAACCTCTGAATGAGCTGCACATGGGGCAATAAACACAGATGTTAGTCATACTGTACGACTCAATAATGAAACATACATCTTGTGTGAGAACTTTTGGGTTTCTCTATAAATGTTATGGTCGTGGGCTTATAATGTTTTGTTTCGGCCCTTGAACTGAATTGAAAACCTTTGACTATAATTCATTCTCCTTTTTGCCATGTTTTTTTGTGAAGAACTTTTTAACCTTGTTTAGATAAGTGTATTACAAATAAAGTTATTATCGTTGTCTTTTTTTAAATAAATTAAACGTTGATACACTTCTCAATTTAGAAGACACTGACTTTTCTCACGAATGTTATTTTGTTGATGTGTGATGTGAAAAAGAACCAGAGGGATCCTTAGGGTCATCCTTCACATGTGACATCGCTGAGGTTTTTTAATGTTTTCCCAATCAAAAAGAATTTCTCTGGTAGTTTTCCTCACTCTAGTCGCGGTTTAAGGACAGAAGATGTTGAACCTTGCAAAGATTGTTACGCCCTGGAGTCTTGTACGATTGGGAATAGTTGTATACATGACACAATAATAAAAACATAATGCATTTGTTTCTATAAGTGGATATATACTGTATAATTATATATATATATATATATAAGTCAGAGGATACATTTTGAATGTGTAAGTCCAAGAGTGGATTCATATCATACCCTTGTGAGGGCGAGATGCATCTCTAACTCTGCGATTCTCCTGCCGATGCAGCTCCTGATGCCGTAGCCGAAAGGAATGGAGCCAAAGTTGTCAACACGATCAGTGGAATCTTTCCGTATCCAGCGTTCTGGACAGAAGTCTGAAGCATCCACAAAGCCCTGCTCATCCATAGATGTGGAGTAGTGACACAGAGCCAACTGAGTCTGCACAGAAAACAGGGAAAACTTCAGTGGTGCAATGAAAACAGCTGGGCTATTGTACGAGCAGCTGTACAGGACAGAGAAAGAGATGTATGAGTAATGTGAGATCGTGTTACATCTGGTTCCACTGTAATGTTTTTGGCTCACTCATATGGTAAAACTTTCTCTTCAGCACATGCACACTGCAGAGCACTTTCGTCTATTCTGTCTCTATCGGTCTTACCCCTTTGGGGATGAAGTATCCACCCACCACCAAGTCATCCTGGGTAATCCTTCCGTTGCCTGGGAGAACTGGAAACAGCCTGCTCCCAGGGAGGGTTGCACAAAGACGGTTATTCAACAGCATTGCACACTGATCTTCTTGCAAAGGTTAATTATAAGAGAATGTGAAAAGCCACACAAAGAGATAGATAAGTTTATGTGAACGTATTGAACAAAGTCAATCACAGATTCTTAACGTAGATAAAACTTTAAACTGACCAACCAGGAAACAGCGAGAGAATAAAAACTGTTACAGTATAAAAGTCAATGCTGTCTGCACCTGAGAGTCTCTTTGACCAGCCCTCTGATGAGAGGCAGACGGGAGATATCTTCAGCTGTGGCAACGGTTCCAGGTCCCAGAGCCGTCGTCACTTCATTGAAGATTTGCTGCTGTACATGAGGGTGTTGTGCCAACAGGTAGCTGGCCCATGAAAGAGTGAAGGACGTCTAAAAGAACAGATCAAAGGAAATCATTGCACGTTCTATACAGTAGTGGTGTTGTTCGGCTTTTCAATGAAATCTCTGTGGAGAACGTTTTGCAACAGTTTTGAGTTTGACTGCATTTCCAGCTGATATAAGAGTTTCTGAGACGTTGCGTAAGTGTTTTGAAACAGCAAGGGGCTTTGAGGGAGAGGGGGCTAATTCCACGTGATGAGCAGACACTCAAGACCACTCCGCTGGCTGCATTCTCAGCCCTTTATTCCTCGTCTTACGTCACCCATTCTCATCCGCTCTCATTCAATTGTGCCTTGATTAAATTCACTCACGTGTCCCGCACTTAAACATTGCAGCGCTGATCTCTGATCAAATGCAATAAGGATACCCTCACTGCATTTGAGCTGACATGACTCCACTCTTTTTAAATGTCCTTTATGACACATCTTTTGCTTTTGCTGTCATCAGACACACCCTGACTGTTTTCATTTCCTCTTTCCTCCATTTTAACCACCCCACCCACTCGTTTCTCTTATCTCACTGCTCTCAGTTGTCCCCAACTCATCCTTTTTTGTGACTCACCCCTCACTGGCATTTAAATTTCAATGGTGTTGGCAGATTAGAGGATGATATGAAAATTGGTGACACCTCTCCTGCAATTACACAATATCTTTACAAACTTGTAATTTATGCCTTGTCACCCCCGCCCTCATCTTTCCTCTTTCACCGGCGTCCTGTCTATCTGTCCATCCTCACTTTTTACCTACGCCAAGGAGACCATCTTTTCACCCCTTTCAGTTTGTTGGTTAGTTGGTTTGTCTGTTTGGAAGCAGGATTACCGAACCCCTTGAATTTTGGTGTAGAACCCGGAATTTCTTTGTTAAATATATTTGAGCTAAAGTGTTTTTCCATATTTTTGTTGATTTCTCAGAAAATAATTCACGGCATGTTTAGGGGACTGGTATTTATGACTGTATGCAGTTTGATGCACACCCAAATAGAAATCCGGATCTAGAAAAATTAAATGTAGCTTCGTCAGGGGACTGTTGGGCCTTGACGGAGGTGTGAGCTCTACTGAGTGACCTTCTACTCTCTGCATGCATTTAATGACATCTGTGGGTATCAGACTTGCAGCCTTGTTTCAGCAAACATCACACTGAATAGACCACACAGGTCAGTCTCAGGTCAGTGTCTCCCATGTATATGCCTGTGTATATGCCCCATCGTCCTACACCTCCCTCTGCCCCTACTCCTCCTCAGATTCTCCCTCCCACTCTGACATCGCCCTCTCCCCATCTACCCAACTGGCTCCTAATCAACTCCAGCTGGCACAGACGCTGGCAACACCTCAGACAAAGCCTGAGAGGAATCATATGACAAAAGCTCATCCGGACATGGCTCTACGGGAATCAGGTCTCTTCCTTTCACCCCCCTTACCTTGTTTTTTTCCCCCCCAAACATCCATTGTACACCCATCTCTTTTTGTCCTCCTCCTTCCCCAGTCTTTTGCTTTTTCATGACAGCGTCCCTCTACCTCAGACTCGCATCATTATTCTCCGCGCTCATCTCACCTCTGCCCAGTCTGTGCTATAACTCTGGCTCTGGCTAACGTGTCTTGACAGCTCTTGTGTGCGCTTGGTAGAGGCAAATGCACCAAGAGGTCGGGTAATGGCTCAGCTAAGTCGACCCCCTACCAGGACGTGGCCGTTGCAACAAGTTCAACAAAAACACACACACCCTTTTATCCATGGCCCCTGGCTCAGCACAAAACACTCTCCACCCATAATTCTTATTAACCTGACAGTACCCAAAACAAATTAGGCAGTAACTGCACACATATGCTCACAGCGCACACACTGTGAAAATCATGCTCAGTGGGTTTGGTGTGTTATTAGTCACCAGATGTTTTTTGTCCTATACTTTTTTTAAATTTAATTTCAAATATTTTCTGTCTCTTGCTAAATTGCAGCGTGTGGGTGTGACCGATGAGCCAACAGGCGGAGGTGCCAGCAATGAAAAAGTAACATCCTGGGTCTAAATCTGACCCAGGATCTTAGCTCCATGTGATGTTCCTTCTCCCTCCCAGTGTTTCCTGTGTTCTATAATCTGCCAATTAAAAGGTGAAAAAAAAATCTGTAAAACTTGAATATGGAACCATGTGAACGCACAACACAGATTCTTGTAGGAAGGAAGAAAAAAAAAAAGACAAAGCCCCCTTGTGTGGATTATTTAACCGACAGAGACAAATGATGAGAAACTAAATATGAGTGAGAACAAGTTTGTCAGTGGGATACTGTGTAACCCCACGATTCACTGCTCTGACCTGACGCTGGCACAACTACACAGGCACGGATTTGGCGCCAGAAACCCAACCCTTGAAACTCAACACTGACTCAGACACACACACACACACACACAGACATACACACACACACACACGTGCGACTCCCAGCTACCCCACCTTCTGCTGAAGCCACACTCTTTGCACCGCCTCACTCCTCTGCACGCATATCGTCTAACACATCTGCATAAACAAAGTCGCACACACCGTGTCCACACCGGCCAGTAGCATCTCTGTTACATTGGCGTAGATCTCCTCTATGTTCATCTCCCTGGTGACGAGCATGTGAGTGAGCAGTCCCCCCTTCACCTCTTCTCCCCGCTCCAGCTGGGCCTCGATATCTTTGAGCCTCTTATCAACGTGAACACGGCCTGGGTTCCGACGGAGACAGAGGAGGGATGAATGGAGAGGGGGTGAAGGACAGCAGGGGGATGTGAGGGAGGGTAGCAAAGAAAAGGAAAGAGAAGAGGGAAAAGGGTTATGTAACAGAGGGACCCCTTACTCCCACAGTCCTATGGTAGAGCTGTAGAGATTTATATGCAAATCAACATTCCTTTCTATTAAGCCAGGCGATTTCTCCCCCCAAAAAAAGTGAACCAGACCTGTGCTTTCCTGTTTCTAGTTTGAAAAGTACCACACAGAGAGAATTATCTAACACACTACACACTGAGGAGTATTTATCATGATTTTAAGAGGGATCAGAGATTTGGCATCAACTCATTAGACCGTGGAAACTTAAGTTTATATATTGTTCTTTTCTAAATGTGCCTTTTAAAAGTCAACTTCTTTTAAAAACATTCTATTCACTCTTAAAGGGCCATTACACCAATTTCACACATGATGATTGGTTTATTTGTCACTGGGGGAGAGCTCCTCAGTTTGTGAGAACAGTCGTGTAATGTGTCAGATATTAAAGGCTATGATCTACGCACTGAATTTGAAGAGGCCATCCCAGGATTGACAGAATTCCACCCATGGTTTGGGGATGAGAGGTCGGAGCCACTTGGGGATGGCGCCCGCGTACATGGTTGTCTTGAAGGAGCTGAACATGAGGTTCAGCGCACTGATGTAATCTTGGGTTTCCTGGGGAATCTTGTTTTCCAGACAGCCAAGTCGACACTCGTACAAAATAGCTGACACACCTGTAAAGACCAAGGTTTGGGAAAAAGAGATGGTTTCAGGGTTTTTGTGTGAGTGGAGTTACAAAGCTGCAACGAGGATCCCTGACCGTCCTTCTAGTCACCAGACTCAAATGTGTACACATCAATGGTTTGTGCAGTTTGTGCCAAATCTACTTTTGAGAGGATTGATTACCATGTTTTTTTGCATTTTTTATTTTTCCTATCCATTTTCTCTTTGACCCCACCTCTTTCTGCGTAACTTTTGTCTTATCAAATCCATTCTGCCCTGTTTTCACTTCCTTCACCTACCTTCCATGGCATATTTGAAGAAGAGGTCGTTCACGTTGTAGATAGTTGCTCCGTCAGACTCCCAGCTACGCAGAGTACAAACTCTCTTGATCAGGTCATCCACCACTAGGTTCACGTCATCGGAGAAGACTGCTACGTCCCTAGGACGCATGATGAGCTGTCTGAGCACACCCCGCATCTTCAGCCACTCGTCCCCCTCACTGGAAAACAGGAGACTAGGTGAATATTTGACATTCCCATGCAAGCGTTCATGGACTAAAAACTAAAATATCCTAGCAGCTGAGAAGAAGTGGTATTGATGATAAATGGGGAAAGTACAACATCTCAGTTTATAGATCTAAATGCTTAGGAGCTTGTGCACTAGAAGTGAGCTGATCCTTGATTTGTAGCCCACACACCCAGATTTTATTTTATGTTATCTACACATGTTAGAAATTAAAGTGATTACTCTGACAAACCCTAAGTCACTTATTTAATTCAGAGGTCAAAGGTTGTAGGAGACTCACGCTGAGATAAGGCCAGTGGATCTGCCCCTCATGTCTCTGTACTCCTTCCATGACTCCATGTTCGCTCTCTGAGGGGCCGGGCCCTCGGCCCTGAGCACTTGAGCCAACAGGTCCCTGTCTGCGATCGAGACCACCAGCTGAGGTCCAAATCGGGACTTGAAAATCTTTCCATACTTCTTTCTGTGGTCCATCTTTAAAACAGAACAACCAGTTAATGGACACATTTCTTCATTCATTTCACATAAATGTTTTTTGGAAATGGGAGAAAATCCAGCAGTGATTTCATTCCATGACTCTGATGCAATTTTTCTAAAATCAAAATGTAATTATGAACACATGTTGGTTGTTAGATTAAATCCAGATTTTAGCTAAATCTCTAAATGTATTCTTAAATACTTAAAACCAGTTTGATCTGATTCATGCAGACTGACTAATAACAAAGCACATTTCAGCAGTGTGGCATTGCCAACACTGTCACTGTATCTCCAGCAGAACCGGTCTGTAACAATGGAATCATCTGAATCTTGATTCACCGCCATTCACATATTGGCTACCTCATTGTTGTTCTTTCAGAAACCGTTTTAAGGGAAATTAAAAGTTAATTTTGTTTCCATTAGCAACTTTCCAACTGATTTCCACTTCCAATTAAGAAAGTATAAAATAATAATGGTACAAGGAGGTAATGAGCATAGTCCCTCTGGAAAAACTGACTTATACCCTTCATGACAACATGGGAGCTTTCACAAGGGTATGGCAACCTGTTTTAGATGTTGTGGACCCCTCTGGTCTGAGCTTTAATGTTCCTCAATAAGTGATGCAACATGGATGTCGCTGACATAGCTTAGAATTGGGTGTCAATCTGGTGGTGTGT